CCAGACTGTGTAAGAGAGACAACTGGCTTGCTGAAATGCTGCTGTCACCTCCCAGGCTTTGGGGACCAAGTCTTGCTCGCACCATCAGAGCTTGGGAGCTGGTTTGGAGGGAGCTGCTTTTCTCCTGCTGGCCCTGATCTGCAGAGCCCTGGTGGGAGGGGAAGGCCAGGGCTTTGTCACTGAGCACGGTTCCTCTGCTGCAGGTATAAAGCAATTGTTAAGTACAAGACGGCGTTCTACTCCTTCTACCTGCCTGTGGCTGCTGCCATGTACATGGTGAGTTTAATGGAAACAGTCTCAGGAGGGGCCTAACCCTTGGTATGAGGCTGTTGAGGAGGGCAGGGGGTTGGGAGATGGGAGAAGTGAGGGTGGAAGGCAGGTACTGGAAGGCTTTATTCCTCTTTCCCCCTCTTAGACTGGTATTGACGGTAAGGAGGAGCACGATGATGCCAAAGCTATCTTGCTGGAGATGGGCGAATTCTTTCAGATCCAGGTACAAGGTGACTCCCCGTCCCTCGGTGCTTGTAAGACACCGGTTGTGGTGCTCACGTGTTTCCGTCTTCGTGCAGGATGATTACCTGGACTGCTTTGGGGACCCGGAGCTGATGGGGAAGGTTGGCACTGATATCCAGGACAATAAGTGCAGCTGGCTGGTGGTGGAGTGTCTGCGTCGGGTCACGCCAGACCAGAGGCAGATCCTGGAGGTAACATCACCAGGCTGACAGAAAGCCGCTGAAGATGAGGGAGAGGTGGTGTGGACCTCATCCCCGAGGACGTGGTGTAGAGGGAGCGTAGTGCCGTAACGTACACCTGAAAAGCCGTGTGCCGCCCTGCGTAGCTGCGCTGTGCTGCTACCTGGCTGGGAGAAGGGTTGGTTGTTGCAAGTGGTATGAGGTGGTAGCAGGGAGAACAAGAGCTGACTCCTGCCACGCTCTGAATGAGCAGCTACGGCAGCGGCTGTAAGCTGGGCCTCAGCCGGACTTGTTCTGGTGTTTTCTCAGGAGAACTATGGCTGTAAGGAGCCCGAGAAGGTGGCAAAGGTGAAGGAGCTCTATGAGACTCTGGGCATGAGGGCTGCTTTTCAGGAGTATGAGGAGAGCAGCTATCAGCGCCTGCAGGAACTGATCACAAAGCACGCCAACCGCCTGCCCAAGGAGATCTTTCTTGGCCTAGCTCAGAAGATTTACAAGCGGCAGAAGTGATGGTGGGCCTGGCTCTGGACTGCTTAGTCTTTGCTGAGGGG